ATAGGTTTTTTTTCTACGACCAATAATTTTGGCGCTAGAGCCGGGAAAAGTAGGATACTTTTTGTAACAAACGGTTTCAGCGACTTTATCTCGCCGTATCTCACTTCTCAGAGGCTGTAGTGTACTTTTGAACTCGTTTCCTCACCACCTTGCGATAGAGTTAATGGCGCGTTTTTTTTTATGTGGAGTCCCCTGTAGGCCTAATTCACTCAGTTTATTATTAAGATTATGAGAATTTTTTTTACCAGGGTTGTCTTAATTATTCAATAATATAATTAGGCTCGTGAAAGTGTTAACGATTTAAAACGGCGAATGCGAGTCAGGCACGGAACGTGGTGCGCAAATAAAAAAAAACCGTGTATTCAGATGTAATGAACGTTTCGGCTCTTCTTTCGAGCCATCTTCACCATTTATTGAGATAAGAAGATTCTATTCCTGCAGAGTTCGAGGCAGAAAGTTCCCTTCTTGAGGAGATGTCGTGACAAGCGAGCTGGTACGCACGGTTATAGTGGACATTTCCACTGTGAAAAGGAAAAATATATTTAGTCAATCGTTAAAACAGAAAGAGAAAGGAGAGAGCTCATCTCAAGGTCTGCAGCAGTCAGAGAAGTACAAAAATTAATTATTCAAATCTTGTTCTTTTTGATGTAGAGGGTTGGCAAATGTCATCTTCCGCAGCATCTTTCTTTTCCTCAATATTATCTTCTTTCTCTGCTTCTTTTGGTTCTTCCTCGTTGTTCGAATCAATCTCATTGTCAGGATCGGTTAATGTCTCCTCAAAATGTTGAACAGTTACGTCGATTTCTTCATCGTAGTCACAGTGATCTATTATATGTCGATGTTTGTGCATGCTTGATAGTTGAAACGAGTGAATGTTGACACCTCGACAGTTGAAACGAGTCACAGAGCATCGCAATCCAGCTTTTCTGCAACAACAATTTGCTTTGCAGCCTTTTGTGCATTTGCAGAAGATCTTCTTGAGAATATCCTACGGAGCGGCTTCCTTTATTGAAGGAACTGGAAATAAACCATTTTTTATATATTTCCAGTCCCAATCTTGAGGATTTTTTTTAACTCGCCACTGCTGAATCTGATAGTAGACTCTGAGGGAGTGTTGACGTGCAGCTACTTCAGTAGGTGGTATAGAAGCAATGTTAAACATTACTTTCGACGTAGATTTGGCGAAGTATGAGAATTGAAACTCATTCAGAAAACTATTGTTCTTTGCTCCGTATAAAGCGAGAATACATTTTTGTCCTGCTATGTCAATGAAATCTGGATGAGCATCCGGATCTCCAAAAATTTTTGAAATATTCTGCAAATTTTTATCTTTTTGGAACAGTTTAATAAATTTTATTTTACCCTGTCTGAAAAATGTTGAAGTGGTATCACAACCAGTGAATGCGTGAAGAAAAAGAATATGCTCAGGAAAATCAGAATATTGGAAGGAAGTAAATAAATAATTCTTCTGCTTTGTTTTTCCCTTGCTCGATTTCATAAAATAGATGTTAGATTTAGATGATGCTGTCAGTATCACTAAAAGATCAATATCTTCGTCAACTATTACTACGTAATCGTCATTCTTCGATGCATCAATCGCAGTATTGAACAATAAGAGTGTCAGCATCTTCAATAGTTTGCTTGATAATAAATCCTGCAGTTTGAAGTTTTTTAACAACATTGAGATAAGTCTATCCCTATTTTTTTCACTCGATTTTTTAGATAATTGTCATAACTATATCTTTTAATTTATTTAAAATTTAAAACTTACGATAATTCACTCGGACGAAATTATTACCGATATTTTACACACCTTCGACTGAGATAATGGTGACTACTACAAACGATGGATTTTTCCGTAACATCACAGAACGGTTCGGCGTTGACAAAACGAGGCTGCTAAAATCGTGGATTCACATAAAAAAAAGGATTGGCATCTTGACACAACAACGCATTTTTCTACTGAGATGCAGAAGACGAGACGTACTACCTCCGCATATCAAATATCTTAAATCTAACACACGTCTTCACAATCCCATTACTACGTATAAGTTCGAAAGATCTAAAATGCGATATCAGAGAGCAATACTAAATTTAGAGATTAGTAATATTCACGAGCATTTGAATTGGTTAAAGATCAAAATCAGGGAGATTGAGGACAAATTGCTGTTGTGTCTACCTGTATCAATTGTTGACAATTTTTTCACTTTTAACAAAGAAAAAATCTTTAAACATATAGAATCCGTTAGAATTAAACTTGTCAAAAAGTTCAATCGAATATTGGACAGACAAGATACTTGCCGCGCGTTTCTTAATACTAACAACAAGAAATGGTTAGTCAACACCACTGACAAACAGATACCGGACTCTGTAAATAATTTTTTAAGCTTGGGTGACAATTTCGCTTTACCGGTTTCCCGCTTGTGTAAAAAAGACCGTTGCAATGCAACGTTAGAAACTATTAAGAACGTCGAGATTAACAGCCATAAGTTTCCTCCGAATGCTATTAACGGAATACGGAGCGCAATAGCCAGTTAATTCTCTTCAACTCTTTTTAAATAGCAACAAACATTTTTGTCATATTGACCGAAACATCCTTAATGAGTTCTCGAAATGTAAAAAATTTTTGCGCAATAACGATGACGTCTTTGTCACCAAGGCTGACAAAGGTCAAATAACGGTGATCATGGATAGGTTGTGACCGGACGGCACGTGTTGAGCCCGATTCCGGCGGATAATATTCCTATTGAACGGTCGCCACTCGGTTTAACCTTAGACTACCGAGAAGGTAAGTTCGTATCAACGCCGCGATTATTCGCAAGACGCTAATAGGATTTATTGGTTTCAGAAGGATGTCCCTGATGGATCACCGTTGCTGCTTCTCATCCCTGGATCCTCGCTTTACATCGCATACCAGATAGAGGTAAGTAAGGATAAAATAATTATATCCTAATTATTTGAATTTTTATTTCAGACTGATGTCCCTGTTGGATCACCGTTGCTGCTTCTCATCCCTGGATCCTCGCTTTACATCGCATACCAGATAGAGGTAAGTAATTATAAAATAATTATGTGATAATTATTTTAAGTTTTGTTGCAGATCGACGCCCGGAATGGATCGCCGTTGCTGTTATCCGTCTTTGGATCCTCGCTTTACCTCGCATACCAGATAAGGATAAGTCCCGATAATTATGTTTTAATTATATACTAATTCGCTTTTTTTCTTTCAGGTTCCTGCCTCGGATGGATCGCTGCTCTGTTGCTGCTCTGCTTCCCCGGATCCTCGCTTTACATCGCATACCGGATTGCCGCTGGCCAACGTTGGATCATCGCCGTAGGACAAGGTAAGTAGAAGGTAAGTATCGATAATTTTTTTATAATTAATCAGGAGAATTTGTTTCAGAATTAATTAATCTTTAATTCCAGATCATCATTTCAACATTACAGGCCGTTTCACAATATCATAAAGGTGTCTCACAACGCGAGTTTCTCGCCTCGGTGTGAATGTCGCTTTATTTTAATAAAGTTGCACAATTATTCAAATTGCGTATCTCGGCTCATTCGTTTAGTCGATACGATGTTTTTATTCCAGATAATTATTCCGATCGGAGGACTTTGTACCTCGTGATTGTTAAACTATGATCACGCACTTGGCCGTGATCATCACTCTATTATACAATGTTCGTGCGCAGATGTAACGAACGAGTATTCGGTGGTTAAATACAATGATTAATAATTTCCGCACAATATTCCGTACCCGCGTGACCCAATGCCCGTGGTTGTTATATACTCGATATGCACTTTCGTTAATTAATAATGTATCCGAATTTCAACTCGCGTATTGTTGCAAACACTCGATTGTATTTGGCAATTAATTGCCCCTCGCTGTTAGTTAAGACGAGTAATTTTACGCGATAGTACGCGGGAGTTCTCGGTTGTAAAGTATAACGCGTATGCCGATCGTACAGAGTGTGATACGTGTGTTCGCCACGGCTATACCCAAGAGACTGCCTCGAGCGGTCGCTCTCGCTTGGGCTCCCCACTTATGCCGGATCGCTCCCACTCCTTGGAACTTTCTCGATTGTCCATTGTTCGCGGCCGGCACATCTGGCGCGATCATGCGAAAACACGATGATTTTCACTACCCTCTCGCGTGCCCTTTTGCGCATCTCCCGTTTACGCCCGTTCTAGAAGGTTCCCGTGGAAATTTCCACGCGCAACGCAGTGCGAGAACCTTCCTTCCTCGGTACCGCTGCACCAGGTTTTCACTCGCGGAAACTGTTCGACGCGAACGACGTCGACCTATGCGCACCTCCTCGGAGATGCCCCTGATGGTGAATTCGGGTATTCTTCCTGTAGACGACGTCCGGGTGACGTCGATGTCGTCGGCCGTTGACGCCGACCCTCTGGCTGGGTTTCTCGGGAGCTGGTATCGCTGTTCCGGGCCACTGTTCCCGGAGATGATGCGTTTTCCGGGGATCTTGTCGGAGCTCGACGTCGACCCCCTAGGCAGGTGTCCCAGGACCTCTCGCGACGGATTCCGCCGTTTGTTCCCGGGGAAGATGCGTTTCCCGGGGAACTCGTCTGACCTTGACGCCGACCTCCTGGGAGGGTGTCCCAGGTCCTGGTGAGACTGTCGGATGGGTGTGTCCCTGGCGAAAATGCATTTCGCCGAAATTTTGCCGGACATTGGCGACGACCCCCTGGGGCTGTGTCCCAGGTTTTACCCAATTCGTCAGACGTTCTTGTTCCCGAAGTCGGTGCCCTTTTTGGGAACCTTACTCCGTCGGTCAATTTGACATCGCACACTCGTGCGCCAGGCACGCGGGGTGGTCCTCTGGCCCATTGCTTCTGTAGGTTACTCTGGTTTGGGCGTCGCACGTTACCGATCGTCGCCTTCGTCCCCTCAGTCGGTATCTTCTCCATCGGGCATGCTCGTCGGATCGTTTCCGAACTCGCCCCTGAAGCGCGCGGTCGCAAGGTTTGACTATATTAATCGTATGACGGAGGTATTAAGTGACGCCTCCACTTATAAAAAGGTGGATAAGAATCCCATTAAACAGATCACAACTAAGATTAACCAACTCGTGAAGTCGTGGCATGACAATGACATCATTGATTATCAAATCTTCAAACAGTTATATTGTACGAATAGAAATCTTCCTCGTTGTTACGGCCTGCCGAAGATACACAAAACCGGGTTTCTTATGCGTGTCATCGTGTCAGCAATAGGCAGTCCCCTCTATAATGTCGCGCGCTTTATACATGAGATTTTGCATAACTCTATCCCCAAACCACGATCTCATGTAAGGGATGGTTGGTCGTTTGTAAAAGGAATTGCGAATGTGAGGATTGACTCTGACGAAGTCATTGTGTCTCTTGATGTCACAGCATTGTTCACCAACATCCCGAACGAGTTGGTGTATGAATCGGTGAGAAAAAGATGGCATTATATCTCACAAAATACTGAGCTCAGTTTGTCTCAGTTCCTCCATGCCATAGAATTAATTTTACATTCCACTAGCTTTTGTTTCGATGGCCAGTTCTATGAGCAGATCTATGGTAGTCCCATGGGATCTCCCCTCTCTCCAATATTGGCTGATATGGTCATGAAGGATCTTGAGACTCACTGTTTAAGTTTGTTGGACTTCGATGTTCGTATCTACCTCCGCTATGTAGATGACGTTTTTACCATAGTGCCGAAACGAGCTATAAATGCTTTATTGGAAGCGTTCAATGGTTACCACCCACGGTTGCGTTTCACCTACGAAATTGAAACTGATGATTCGTTGCCGTTTCTGGATACTATTATGATTAGGGACGGTAATGAGTTAATCACTAATTGGTATAGGAAACCAACTTTCTCGGGGAGATACATTAATTACTTTTCTAGCCATCCACTTAAATATAAAATCAACAGCATAAATAACTTAGTGGATCATGCTATCTTGTTGTCAGACGAGCGTTTCCATCACGCCAACATTAATATTATTAAAGATATCCTTGTGAATAGCTTCCCGATTAAGTTGGTTAATAAGCATATTAACAATAGATTGCGACAATTAGAAAATAGAAGGGACTTGAGCGCTAACAATTCCGAACGCGACAGCACGTTTGATGTACGCAGATGTGTGGTGATCCCTTACGTGAAGGGCTTAAGCGCGGGCATACGGGATACTCTTGAGAGAGTCCGCTGTGACGTGGTATATAAGATACCGAAAAAACTCAGTGCTGTCATCAGGAAAAGTAAGGACAGATTAGCGACCAACAAGGAAACTAATGTAGTTTACAAAATTGATTGCGAGAATTGCGACGCGTCCTACATTGGCCAGACGAAGAGACATCTTGAAACAAGATTGAAGGAACATTTCAGCGATATTAAAAAACATGACAGCAATTTCTCTGTCGTAAGTAAACACCGGATACAGAATGACCATAATTTTAAGTGGTCAGATCCAAAAATATTACACAAAAAACCTCACTGGAAAATGAGAGAAATCGCTGAAATGTTCTTTATAAAGAAATATAAGAACATGTTCGCGAAATCGCTGATTAATCTCGGCGATGGAAGCGGGATGAGAAGGACGCGCGTGGAAGGTGTTAACTAAATATTCACTTTATTTTTGTGTAACTCAGACCACAGTCTGAGCCGTCTTTAATGCGTCAAAATTGATACAATCTGACCTGAGAGTGATGAGCGGTGAACAAAATGAGGTGTATATATAGTCTGAGTAAATGAGCGGCAATTATATTAATTGCCGTGAGTGAGTCCCGATTGCGCACATTACAAATCGGACACAGCAATATTTCCCGATCGGACAC